AGCTCTCACTTAGGAAAAGTTCAAATTATTTAATTCAAAGTTCCTTGTTTATCATCTGAATCATGAGCACAACCAGTGATTTCAATCACTTCAGCTGTCAAGAGCCTTTGCTGACTGGCAGCCAGGATTGTAACAGGCTGTGGGATACTGGTGGCTGATGGAGTTGTGGCACATGGCTGGTGGCCAGCCAGCATTTGGGAGAGCCCCAGGACTGGCTGTGCGTGGGGCTGTGTGGAGGTGGCTCTGAACAAGGCACTGATGATGTGAACACTTCTGTGTTGGAGCAATCTTTTCTGATAGTAAATATAACACAGTGACTCATGTGAGTGCCTGCGGGATCAGCACCCAAGCTCTTTTAGATGTGCAAAGTGTCCAGTGCAAATCTGGTGGATGCACTGACTGAGCTGTAAATAGAACAAAGCAGCTCCTTTACTTGCAGTAGGATCTGGAACATCAAACATATTTGTGACAGGAGCTCTGGTACCCTGCCAGAGGGAAAGCCACTTTTGCACATTTTGCTAAAACTTTCATTATCAGATCACAGAAAAAAATTTCTGGGATAAGGATTCCTAGTTTACAGGACAGGATTATTTGTACTCTCCCCATACTAATACTAGACAGCTTTGCATTAGCTGCCTAATTTACCAATTGGAATAAGCATATTTTTTAAAAGAACACGTCCTCATATAGCTGTCATTTGGCGGAGGAGGCACTTGCCTGCAGAAAGCGCATCAGTCTGAGTCTGGAACGTGGCGCTTCCTGCTACAGGCCAGCATCATGCACACGCTGAAGTTTATACTACCTGACAGTGCCAGCAGATCTGCAGTGATTTGCTGTAACAAGTATTAGATAATGATGATCTTTCAAGAAAGAAGAAGAGTGGGTACAAACACAAAATCCTACACTGTGTGTGACATACACTCCCATCATTGGTCACAATACGAAAGATTTTATTTGCTAAAAAAACAACATGAAAAATTTGGAGTCAATAGTTATCTGGACTGATCACTGCTACTACTACAATAAAAAGAACTAATCCTCTATGTGTATCTTCACATATAATGTGTTTTGGAGTGCCATTTGTGTTTATTTATGATAATTAAAAAATAAGCAATGTTGCTAAGCAGAGGAGCACTATTCCCACACA